GTTCGTTCGAGAATTTGGTTTGTAACCTGTACTCTCCTCAAATTAGTGAAATTTGTTCTCTCCTGCCCGTGGATTAGCTAGCACACATTGTGTTAGTGAACCACGTTAAATTCGTGTTTGTTTGTGTTGATCTGGATTGTCGTTTGCACGCTTCTGTTCTGACAAGTGGTATCAGAGCCTTTGGTTGCGGTTTTGGGAATTTGGCGCTGAACTGAAGTTTTGCTTTGTGGAGGTAGCTTTCAATTCTTTAGCTTGGTTTGGTGGAGGAATCGCTTTGGAGTTGACTTTGGGTAGTTGTGTTTTGGTCTCGCATGTTTGGTGAGAAGTTTGGTTGGAGTTTGTCTGATAGTAAGAATGGCTGCTATCAGTATGAAGATTGAGAAGTTTACCGGAAGAAACAGTTTCAGTTTGTGGCAGATCAAGATGCAAGCACTGTTGAAACAACAGGGTTTGTGGGCTCTGTTGTCTGGAAAATCAAAGAAGGAAAGTATAGATGAAGAAGAGTGGATTACTTTGGAGGAGAAAGCTCACTCTACAATCTTGCTTTGTGGGGCTGATGACATCATCACTGAGGTTGCTGCTGAGAAGACTGCTGAGGGACTGTGGTTGAAGCTTGAAAGTCTTTAACTAACAAGTTGCATATGAAGCAACTTTTGTTCAGTTTGCGTATGAAGGAAGGTACGTCTCTCAGGAATCATCTAGATCAACTAAATACTATCTTGCTAGATCTGCGGAAAATTGATGTTAAAATAGATGATGAGGATGCTGCCTTAATTCTGTTAGTATCTTTGCCACGGTCGTATGAGAATTTTGTGGATTCTTTTATTGCTGGGAAAGATAGTTTGTCTTTGGAAGATGTCAGATCTGCTCTACATACTAGAGAGGTTCGACATAAGGCGTTTGGTTCAGGTTCGGAAAATCAGGCATATGGGTTGGCTGCTACTCGTAGTAGGAGACAACAATCTGGTAATAGGAAGGCGAATACAAATTCGAATTCTGCTGGTTTGAAGGATGATATATGTCATTACTGCAAGGAGAAAGGACATTGGAAATCTGATTGTCCTAAACTAAAGAAATATCGGGAGAAGAAGGAATCATCTGCTGCTGTGGCGGAAGAAACTAACTCTGATTCTGAAGATGGTTTAGCCTTAGCAGTGAATGAACATGTACATCATTAGGATGTGTGGTATTTAGATACTGCAGCTGATTATCATATGTGTCCAAGCAGGGAGTGTTTTTCAACTTATGAGCAGATGGATGGAGGACATGTTTCTATGGCCAATGGTGCTATCTGTAAGATTGTTGGAAGCGGCTCCGTCCGGATGAGGACACATGATGGTTCTGTTCGCACCTTGAACAATGTTAGACATATTCCAGAGATGACTAAGAATCTGATATCTTTAAGTCTACTCGACAGCAAGGGTTTAAGTTTCAAAGGTGAAGGTGGAGTGTTGTCTGTCTACAAGGGTTATAAGGTGATTTTGAAAGGTGTCAAGCGAGGTGCCTTGTATAATCTACAAGGTTCTGTTTTGACATGTTCTGTTGGTGATAAGTGCACCAAGCTGGTTCTGAATGACAAGTCACAACATGGGTTGGACTTGCCAAATGGTTTGAGTTGTTGACCGCCCTTAGGGGCATTTGGAGGCAGGGGAGATTCTGGTACAGCTGATTTGGAGGAATCTGGTACATCTGGCAACTTTGGTTGCGTCTGGTACATTTGGTATTTGAGAGAAAATTCAAGTCAAGGTGGAGATTGTTAGAATATGACTTGAATTTGATTTGGGCCTATTTTGTTTGGGTTTGTGTTTGGGTTTTGTTTGACCTTTTTCCTTGTATGTTTGGGAAAAAGTGTTTGGTTTTCTGTTTGGGATTAGGAGAAGAGTTCTATAAATACTCTTCATTACATACAGTACAAACAATACTAAATTAATCCAAAATTCTAATATGCTCATTCAAACAACGTAAGCAGAACTTACCTCCAAAATTTTTCTTCTTTGCTCAGCTATGGTGCTCCAGCTGCTGCAGTTTGTGTTTGGAAGAAAGAAGATAGAAAGTAAAAGAGCTGCCAGAATGTGCTAAGTGATGGCTTTTTATCCTCGTAAACCGATGCAGTGGTTCGAGTCCAAAAAACTCGAACTACAGTAGTTCGAGTCCATTAAACTCGATCTAGGGCAACCAATAATTATACCCCTGCACCCTATTCTGGAGCATGTCGGACCGAAAGTGACTTGACATGATGATTGAGCAGTGGTTCGAGTTTAGTGTAATCAAACTACACTAGTTCGAGTCCCTAGAACTCGATCTATGAAAACAAAGAATATTATCCCTGCAACCCTATCCTGAAGCACGTCGGTTGACCAGTGGTTTGAGGCCATAGGAATCGATTTATATTGTTCGAGTTTTAAGGCATCGATCTTGTGCATATATGGATAGAGGATTCTAAAGTCGTTTTACTAGATCGAGTTTTTTGGCATCGATCTGGCTGGATCGAGTTGTCCAAACTCGAACTACTATGAACGAGTTCTTTGTCATCGATATACCTTGATCAATTTTTCCAAAATTGAACTACTAATGATCGAGTTTTAGGAACTCAATGTGGTTCTAGTTCGAGTTCTTCATCGTCGAACTTTCTTGTTGTTCGAGTTTATGAGACTCGAACCCTTTGAAACTTGGGTATTTTGGGAAAATTTTATAAATCTTATGTATTATGGGAATTATGTTTAATTTTTACTGTATTATGGGAATTCTTCCTTGTGTTTCTGGTTTTGGTTCCTTACTAGTTACTGGGTTCTGCTTTACGCTTCTTGCCGTATAGTGTCAATGCATACATTCAATCCTGGAAGTATTAGAAGTAGCAGTAGCAACAACACTTGCTGGTATGGCCTTATGTGTTATTCCAGATCCCAAAATTATCCTCTGCCTACTCATACTCTGTTAATTTGCTGATTATGTTTTCTTGTGTGTTTTCATAAATTTGTTATAGGACGAATTTTACAATGTTATATAGCATTGGTGCTATAGATTTTTGCGTTTATGGTACAACTTCAGATTGTACTTATACTTATTTGTACAAATTTTTTTATGGCACAACTTGAATTTGTACTTTTATGTGATGATACAAATTCATTTATGGTACAAACTGAATTACATTTAACGTTACGGTACAACTTCAAGTTGTACATTAAAGCACAAACCATGCCCTGGGACTGTGTTGGTAGGGCCTCCATCCACTACAATATACTATACACATACATATTAATTCGGATTTTTTTTTTCCAGGAATAACACTATTAAAAAAAATAGCACCCAACCCAAACAAATTCCAAAAATAGCACCATTCGCCAAAGATCGCCACTGGAGGAGGTGGTTTCTGGAAGAACCGCTTACTAAGGATGCGGTTAAAATTATGAGCAGAAACTGCTCCCTCACCAGGCAGTCTTTTCGGCAGACTTAGCAGAAACCGCCTATTGAGAGAGTGGTTTAGGTTTTCAACCAGAATCTCTTCCTCAACGAGCGTTTGCCTTGCCGACACACAAATTTCACCCCCTGCGGTTTGTGTGTCGTCCCCATTCCCCGACATCTGACAGATCTCCATGCAGGGGTTTGCAGATGTGGGTTGCATGGCAGATGAAAACCGCCCTCTCCCTTGAGGTTTTCAGTGATGATTTTGCCTATAAAAGATAGCCCCGGAAACCTCAGCTCTTCACCCCTCTCCTTATTCTTCTTCAATTGTCTGTTGTGCACCATACATTTTTAGAGTTTTTGCAATTAATGTTACTTCGTAAGTTTATTTTGTATTACTTTTTGTTGTGATTTGTGGTTTTTATGGTATTAACTGAATTATTGTTTTCTTGCCGATGACATTCCAAAATTTCACGTTTTGGTTACTGTGGAATGGTTACACGGAAGAGACCGAAAAGGGGGCACGTTAAGTCGGTGGTAATTTTCATAAAATAAAAGTCGCTACGAGACTGATGCTTAAAGAGCTCCATCAAATGTGTACTTAGGTTACTTGCATGGATGGCACGAGAAGAGTTGATCGTATGGTGTACCGATATTCAAACAGACAAGGCGGGTAGTTGTGGCATGAGGAATTCCTCATAACCACTCAGGATGAACTAGATGCCATGGTTGAATTTTTGAAAGCCAATAATGTTTCCTAAGCATAGATTTTTGTTTACACCGAAGTGCTCGAAGGCGGTGGAGGTCATTCTGGAGATGGCCAAACATCTGGTATCCATGGTGGAGGTGGATTATATGAAGATCATCCTTAACAAGGTTACCATGATCCTCATTCGTACCATGAGTACTAAGAAGGAGGTGAAGGTCATCATCAATCCTTCCCATCATATGAAGAAGAAGTCAACGGTACCATGACAACCAACAAGAAGCTACCCAGTACCAACCCGACTACAACTTCCATTCAGGCGACGGTAGTTTTCACAACTACCATTACAGTGATGATGAAGGTGCCTTTCGTGATCTAGATTAGATGGAAGATGTCCTGCCAACACTAGTTAGTGACCCTTCCGATGAAGAAGAATAAATCAATGTCAGTGCATACAGCTCTGACCCTCTTGAAGGTGATGATGATTCAGGCCCAGAGTCAGAGTCAGACTCAGATGATGATGAGGTGTTTCGTGATCGTGTACCTATCTCGTACTACAATCACATTCCAAATGAGAATTGGTATGTCGATGCCGACATGGAGCCGCAAGAGGTACCATTATGGGGGGTCCACTCACTGGGTTTATGAAGGGCCAACAATTTGGTACGAAGAAGGAGCTGCAACACGCTATTGAGACTGAAGTAATGACTCAGAGTTTTGAATGGCGCTTAACTCATTCCAACGCGAAGAGGCTCAAAGTTAGATGCCGAAATCAACAGGAGGGATGCAAGGCTAGGGTCCGGGCCCTCAACAACAAGAGAGACGGCCATTGGGTCATATCCCGTGCGATGAACACTCACACATGTGTGTCATCCATAACATCCCAAGGCCATCAACTCTTCTCTTGACTGGCACTCGCAACCCCAAAGCGTTGTTGATCCAATGCTGCCAACCAGTCATCCCGCCAACATCCGGTGGTGCAACATCGCTCACACACACTACATTGCCGTTGTTGGGCAAATGGGTTAGGATGGTGAAATCCTTTAGTGTGATTCTGCACTCTCCTTCGCGAAAGTTGAAGCAATGCGTCTCCTTTCGCCATCTCTCCACCAATGCGGTGATGAGTTGATAGTCGATATTTATCCCTAAAATGTGTCTGATCGACTCCAACCTTGCCCTTTTGAGAAAGGGCGAGAGGACGTCGTTATATGCGAGCACATTGCTCGTACCCCTATAGCGGATTATATGGTATACATCCTAGCGAAAAATTTAACTTTCACCATAAGTTTATGATATAATATACAATTATAAATCTATTATAACAAACAATTTAAATAAACAAAATCAATGTTTTTTCCAAGTTATATACATAATTTCGTAAAACAAACATATTCAATTAAATAAATTAACAATAATTTAAATAAATAATAATTTAAAGAGATACATATTCAAATATTTGAAACACATACACATAAATCCATGACATTATTGTGTAAATCGTAATGGTTATTTTCAATAATTTAATCGAATACATTGCAACACTCGTTAGACTCTTAGAAGAGGTATACATCTTCTTAGAAACGCAACGTTTTTGACAGAAAAAGAGGGGAATCCGAGGATCACTTAAAACCCGATTTTCCCAAAAAATGGGTGGATCATGATAATCGCTAAGACCCCATCTCCTTAGGCATGCATCTCTTTATGAAGAGTCTAAGTAAGTGGCGCATTGTATTAGCCCAACCCATTGAAAATAATCAAAACGATTAAAAATTATCAAATTTAATTTATAAACTACTAAGTATATTAACAAAATAAAAAAGGACAAATGATGAAAATTGAATGTACCAGGTGATCGTTGCAAACATCTCTTGAACGATGCTTAGTTTGATCGTACAACACGCTTGGATCAATCGGTACTTGATCAACATAATATCTTTGGTTGTATATATCCACGTCGTCGCCAATCTACGAGAGAATAACAACAAAGTTAATTATTTAGTATATAGAATAATTAAAAAAATTATAACAACAAAATTTTGGTAAAATGAGTACGTCCCATTTGATAGTCATCATGAAAAATACCCTCGTCTTGGCACCAATCTTTCAATAAGTTGAACAGAGACTCGGCGGGTTTTGAAGGAAAAACCAAAGAAATGTTTTCTGATGGTAGATCGGACTTAGCCGCAAAACACTGTTTCTTAGGTTGGGGGCGGGGATGGATAGAGAGATACTTTTAGAAAGAGAGAGGGAAGAATGGGGTTTGGTGTGAAAAAAAAATGGAGAGGGGATGGAGTTTATATAGGATTCTGACCGCCCCCTGTAGGGGCGGTTTGGTAATTTTCGTCTGACCAAAACCGCTCCCCTAATGGACGGTTTGTGTTTCCCGAGGCTAGAAACCGCCCCATCCCGCTGCGGATCACTATCCGTGACGCGGATCGATGCGTTGGCACGCGGTCCACCGTTGGATCGCTCCCTGATCCGACAGTTCTGGAGACCGCCGCTTCCCTATGCGGTTTCGTATCCACCCTAACAAAAATCGTGTCTTCCCAACGCGATTTCTTCATAAAACGCACCTTTGGCGTGCTGTTTTCGATTAATGGTGCTAAATTTAAAAATTTTATGGTTTGGGTGTCATTTTTGTAAAAAAAAAAAAGTGCTATTTCTTGATTTCCCCCGTTAATTCTAACTACTTAATAGAATTTGGGCTTGACTTCTCACCAAAAAAAAAAAAAGAATTTGGGCTTGACTTTTAGCCCATACAAGTGACCAATAGGTATGTAAATGAAATAATGGATCCCACCTAAACTCCAACTCTATTCCAACTCCAAGTGCAAACTCCAAAAAATTCAAATTATGAATCCGTTAGTTCGCCTGTTATAATTCCAGGCTTCCAGCCCATTTCTTCTGTGTCCGTTGCAATGCTGGTCTCCAATTAGTAATTCTAGCAATGGTAAAAAGCAACGAAACCTATTGTAAATAGATGAAACTTACTTTATTTAAACTATAATATTCTCTCTCTCTTTTTTTTTTTTGTCTCCAACGTTCTTTCTAAACACGTTCATACTAATCTTCTAAACTTATTATATTCTAGTGTGTTCTGTGTAATTGAGTTCCCACAACTTATTTATGTGAGTAGCTAATTGACTAATTATTGGTGTATTTACTATTTGAATTCCTTTGTTTTCATATTATTTTAATTCACTCTCTTAACTAATCTTAATTTTTTATTTCTAATTCCAAGTCAACCATCATCTTGTGGATAGTGTGTCACCTATAATTGATCATCAATCGGTGATTAACCGTTATTTGTACATGATATTTCCCATTAATCTTGAACTGTTTGAGAGTTGATTCTCGTGTTTTAAACCGATTTCACGCTAGTTTGTGTTGGGATTTTTAGTGGTGTGAATGGAAATGAAAGGGGAAAGATCCAAGAGAGTCTCTTGAAGTACCATGTTGGTAAGATGTGGGAAGACATGACCTCGAATTCGATCGATTTGATGTAATATGAGGTTAATTGGTTAAATTGGTTTGTGTAACCAAATGAACCAAACCGAGTTGAACCAAATCGAACTGAATCGATGAGGAGGTTGGAATAACCAAACCGGTACAACTACCATGGACCGAACCAATGCAATGGTTCATTATTTTAAAACGAATCAATGCGTTGGTTGGGGTGTAACCACCCATATGAAGAGTTGCCTCTCTTCAATGCACCCCTTAATTTTCTATAAATAGCACTATACCCCCTCTAGTTTTAACTACGAGATATAGATGGATTTTTTCGGTACCAAAACTCTGCTAAATCTAAAACTCGTTTTTTCTGCATTCTTTTCAAAGAGAAAATAGAGTCAAGTGTGGTTCTCGCCGGTTCGCTGCGTTCGATGGTTTCCGGGGTTTGAGGTACCGCTACGCCGGAAAAGGTACGTCCTTTCTATCCTGGGAGGAATTATTCCATAACCTTGGGTACTAGAGGGGAATAAGATTCTTTAAGGAGAGATAGTGAATTCTATCGGCTAGGACGCTTGCATGTGTCTTTGCATGTGTTCTTAATCTTATGTGTTTGCTTGTATTGCAAGAAAATAGTACACGTGAACAATTTCCACAACAGTTTGTGCTTTTATGTCATATTTCAGGACCTAGAGCGAAAATGAAGGCTTGTGAGTTTCGGATCAAAAACACCAAGGAAACGGAAGGAGGAGTGTTTGGGTTGTAGATGTTCTTTATATTATTGTGCATTTTGGTTTGGCATATGAACTCGAGGTTGGTAAGCTGTCCCATTCCACAAGTATGTGAGATCTACCTTCACCAGTTTGAACTACCAAATCTGTTTTGTCATATTTTTCGTAACAAACTATTATTATGTCCAGTATTTCACTAAACAAGAGAAAGATCAAATAGATGACAAAAACTGCTTGAAAAGTATCCATTGGTCCTCTATACGTTATGATACAGAGTGCTTCATGAGATTATCAAATTCAGATATTATGCAGGCTGTGTTGTTGGCTCGCATCTTCGTACTTATTTCTATTTTAGTTTTACTCAACTCATCCTTCAGTATATTTGCGTGACCTTTTGCTCTTTAATTTCACCTATAATTATTTCCTTCCAACAAACACTATTTTACTGTTAAGAAATGCATTCTCTAATGTATAAATCACAATCGAACCGCTAAACATCATTCTACTGACTTTTTCGTTACGGTATCCGGTATAGTTTCACAAACCATGAGAACAAGAAATCAAACTACCGCCGCCATATCATATTGCTGGACTATATCCTGAACTCAGCAAGCACAGGGTATATGTTCTCAAACGCTGCATACGTTTCCTCTCTAGCCTTAGCTCCCGTGATCACGACCTTCCCCGACGCAAAAATGCTGAGCACGACCTTGGGCTGTTTCATTCTGTATACCAGCCCCGGGAAAAGCTCGGGCTCGTAACTCGAGCAAGCGCCATGGGAGGATGCAGCAATACCTTCGAGCCTGATGGGGAACTTCACATCACAAGAGGCTACCATGTTCTCGATCTTGAAGTCCTCGAACTTGGCCGGGAAACCGAGCTTCTGAACTGCTCGAGCATACTTCCTGGCAGCCAGCTTCAACTGCAGCTCACTGTTGGCACCCTTGCATACCATCTTCCCCGAGGCGAAGATGAGCGCCGTCGTTTTGGGGTCCCTGGTCCTCATGATCACAGCAGCGGCGAAACGCTTAGGGTTGTATTCTGCATCGTGGGCTCGCAGAGCGATTTGCTCGAGGTTTAACTCGCAGCCCAAGTTTACCGTGGAGACGATGTTTTGTAGGGTGGGAACGATGCCGGAAGGGTGGTTGGAGAGATCCACCGCTTGTTGGCTTCTTTCCATGTTGAGAGAGATCCACCGCTTGTTGGCTTCTGAACTCTGTGCAGAAGTGGCTCCAGCTCCGTCAGACTACATGACTCTTTTATATCAGAAGACGAGTGACTATTTATAGGCCGGGGCGCGAGATATTCCTGGAGAAGAGATCTCCGTATCTGTATAGGAAGAGGAAAACGAATAATCCAAGAAGCGTCCGCGAATCTACATCTATCTACACAGTAAATAAAAACTAAATGAGAAAACTTAAAAAGACACATACTAGGATTCGAACAATAACCACTTTAAAGAAAAACAAAGATTATAACTAATCACACTAAGCACATTTGTTGTATCTTTTAAATTAAAATCATATAATAGTAGAGAAGAAAAAACTCTTTTCCCTTTTCAAATTCCCTACTCCAGGAGCGTTTGTAGGAAGGGTAGAATAGGGAGTGTCAATTTTTTTCTTTTTCCTCTGTGAAACGGGCCAACTTACCGTACACATGCGAATTTAAACGGGTCTAGGAGTATCAATTTTTTTTCTTTAATCCCTTTTATTTCTCCGTGGTGGTAAAATATATATATGAAAACGCAAAAATAATACTCATTTTTATTGCTAAAAAGAAAAAAAAATTAACAATCAACTAATGCATGGATTCTAATGGGCTAACCGCTAACCATAAAATAAAAGAGTTGAATGGGCCTGACCTACACGGGATTTGGTAATCAAGTAAAACAAATGAACATTATGGGTTTGCCTATCTAAAAAAGCTATTTTCTCTAGCATAATATATATTATGCTATTATTTTATATCTTAGTGGCTAAAATATAATGTATTTTAAAGTAATTCAATGGTTCAACCTCGACCAATCCAATTAGTCCAATTTTTATCATTTCAAATATATATTAAGTAATTATTTGATATCATAATGATTAAATTATAGTGTATTTTATAGAGAATCGTTTGGTATTTGTTAGTAAAAAACTAAACAGAAAGATCTATTTGGTTATTTTTAACATTAAAACGATCCTAAACATTTTCAGTTTCCTTTCGAATTTCTATAGTTTTATTCCCGAATAAGTGATGTGCAAATGGCGAATTGCAGTCATCTCTTTTCTTTCACTATTTTTTATTTTCAAATAGAAAGTTTAAAAGTAAAGAATAATTAGAGTTTGGCATGTGTCGGTCAAACAAGCTGAATTTCAAGTTTTGGTCCGTTTTGATCAAGTCTAATTTATAATCACATGATTTCTTGATACCCGATAAAAATCTCAATCCAAACCAGTTGGCAGGTGAGTCCGTGTTTACCACCATTTTCTAAGGATACAGGAACGACAGTTCCATTCCCAAATCGTGTTGTTCATTCTTGATTTCTATAGATTTTATCATGGCCTGGCAAAAACCAGAAAGCACAATGACGACAAGATGAAAGTTTTATAAAGCAAATTAATCGGCCAACGGGCCGAGTAAAAGCTAGCAACGATTGTGATATGCTCATTTCCCGGAAACCGGCGGGATAAGCAATTTTTTATTCGATTTTATGGAATTCGGTTTCTATAAAACTTACTCCACCTCATCATATTACCAGAAACAATATTGTTTCACAAGGTAACAAGTACTTGATTTTGGTTCATAAGGCTGATTTTTGATTCGTTGCATCATTCATGTCTCTTTCCTACTAAAATTCACTATTTTTATCACGAGTTTCCAAAAAAAAAACTTTACAACAATAAGTTATACACCCCATTACATTATCAAATTCCATACCTCACCTTCCTCCGTCCAACTGGCCGGGGCCACGCTAGTAGAAATAGTATAGGAAAAAGGAAAAGAAAATGCTTAACGACGGCGAATAGAAATGAAACGCAAAGGGAGAACAGAAAGTATGGTCAAGGATAGGAGTGGAATCAGTACAGTATCGGTATTGTAGTACCGAATAGCAAAATTTTGAGTATTAAATAGGTTTTTTAATTCAATCTCAATTTCAAAATAAATTCAGTATTCCAATTGCTATTATTTTATTTGGTATTAGTACATACAAATTATTCCTTTAAAAATTACAAATCAAATATACAAACGCAAAAACTTCTCCTCTGGCAGCACCTCCACAACCCATTCTCAAAATATACAAAAACAAACAATGGTGTCGACACTCGTGCAAAACAAATGGAAAATAAATCTAAGTATAATAATAATAAAACTAGAAAAACATGATACCTAAGAAACACTTTAACAAACTAAAGCAACAAACTGAAACAAGGGATGGCTAAACAACCCAAAAACATACTATAAATAACAAAATGAGTCTTGTATGAGTTGTCAAATAGTGACAAAAATAATTAACTATGTATAATTAATTAAGTGAACGTTTTTGCAGTTGAGGTTCGTGATATGGTAGTAGTAAGTGAGAGAGCAAAATACATTAGTACATTTTCTCTATATCTCTTCAATTTTATCGGATGCCCTCGAAGAGACATTTCATTAGTTATATCAGGTCGGGCCAAATACAGTTAAAATCAAAGTTTTAAGCACAGTATCCTTAAGTCAGGAGTAGGGATGACAACAAAACTCGAACCCACGAGTACCCACCCGACCCAATCCGGTCAATTCGGGTTAAACCCGTGTTGACGGGTTTTGGACTGGGTTCGGGTTTAAACCCGCTACACTATTAATCGGGTTGGGTTTGAGTTTAGGTAAACCCGCCGCATAGGTACCCGCCCACACACATATAATTACTTTCCCGGTATATTTAATATTCTAAATAATATATCTTCCTTAAACAACTAATATTCTTTATATTTGTGGAGACATGTATAATTTGTTCTTTCTAATTGTTTAGAATGAAGTTGATATTATGAAGTGGAGAGTGAAGAAAATTAGTTGACGAGGAAGAAACTTTCAATTAATCTTATTGTTTATAGATGTTTATCTTTAATTTTGAACAAGTTGTATTGATCATTTGCGGTTTTCTTGTATGCTCTAGATTGGTGTTTTTTGTATGCATAATTTGTATGGAAAATTGATGTTAAACTTTTATTTTGAAAGAAACTTGTTATTGTAAATTTTTTACCACAGGTACCCATGAACCCGCGGATACTCAGCAGATTAGGTTGGGTTTGAGTTTTTCAAACCCAACAAGTTTTACCCCGGTTTTTTTGGCGGATAAACCCATGGGTTTGGGGTTGAGTTTGACAAAACCCGTTCCAACCCGACCCATTGCTATCACTAGTCAGGGGACCAAAAAGCTTATTTACTAAGCATATATAATAAAAAAAAAAGAAGCTTAATCAGTGCAGGGGACAAAAAGCCAATGCAGTTGGGCAAGGATAATCCAATGCATATTTGCGGTAATCCAAAACAGTTGGGCAAGGATAATCAGTTGGGACCTGGGATGGTGCTCCAACGCCGGCAGCGGTTACGGATCGAGATCCAAACACATCCAAAAGTTTTTTTCCGGCGTACGATTTGGTCCGAGTTCTGACCAAACACATACCGCGTCGTCAGATTCAGATCAGACTTCTATATCGAGATCCTGCTCCATCCAGTCGGTCTTATCCACACAGAGAAACCCAAAACCCTAAAATATACACACACCAACCGAAAAGCAGTGGATTCCACCACGTGTACGTGTTTGTAACTGTTAATAATTACTATCTTATAGCTTGTTGTCAGCTAATTAATACGTTTGGCAACTTGCAGTTACGAATCTATATATCGAGCTAATCAACTTGGCATTTGGCAACCACGCGACAAGCTAAGTTGACTTTGGGCTTTTGGATTTTTGTTGGACGTTATACTGTTTGTTGCATGATAATGTTTCACTTTGTAGATCAGGATCAGATCTAGCTTAGCTAGTAGCTACCACACGATGGATAGAGATGAAAATATCGATTTGGGTCATTTAACTATGATTCATATGGTTATTGGGTCGGATTCAACTGGATTTATATGCATTTTTAATGATTTTGAGCTAGATCAGTTGGGTTCTATATGTGGGAATTCATATGGGTCAGATTCAAAATGGGTCTAATTGAGTCTACATGATTGTTTACACAAAAAAAAAAAAACAATATCAATCATTTCATTGATTACCTTCAATCTAATTATACACTTTTAATTTATGTGTTTCCACATGTCTATCAGTTTAATAACAAAAACATAAGAGAAAAATTGCATTATAATTGGGTAACCATTTTATTTTGAACTTCCAATACTATGAGTCCAATTTAGTTACAATTAAAAAATTTAATATGGGTATGCCCAAAAATAAAATTACTCAAACTTAATTTTACTCGTAATAATTTGGATTTATACAATACTCAATAGGTGCTTTTTGTCATCCTAATAATTGATGTTCATGTAGATTCCAAATTTCAAGGGTATCTAACTTTAACCCTTTGTATATATATCTTAGTCTTTATGGGGAACCCATTTTTCATATCAAGTTGTTGAAAGATAAAGGTATACTACTTGTCCTTTTCGATGCATAATTTTGATCACCCTCTAACTATTAGTTTAAGAATCCTCCTTATAATGCTAGAATGCATGCAAATCCTAGTTGCTTCGCTGTGAATAGGAAAAAAAAGGTACTACGATTAATTAATAAGGATCCACGATCGATGCATATAAAAAAAAATTGATGCTTATAATGTTCCATGCCATTTCTAAACAATTTAGGATGAATATATAATTTTAGTGAATATCATTAGAAATTGATAGTTTGAAATTCACAATATTCCACGCCATATAAAAAGTAACTCTACGGTGTATAAAGGATATACGAGTTTAAAACTAGAGTAATGTCTATTTTTTATCCAAATCTTTTTCAGATTCTTTTATATTATCCAAACCTATTAAAATTCTATCCATCTATAATAACAAAATAGTCTATAATAACAAAATAGTTAAATAGATACGTACAATCATACTTCTGTGATGATTGATGTACAACTAACCAAAAAGGAAATACCACGCACGCACTCGCTCGCTCTACTCTACTCTACTCTTTTCCTTCCTGTTCTCTTCGTTTTGGATAAGCGCTATATTGTTACGGGACCGATAATTATCTCTTTTTATAGAAACAAACTCCCATTTCAGTTTCCGCTATTTATTGAGTTTTTGCTTCTTCGTCTCCCCCACTGAATCGTTCCCACCACACGACTCACACACCACCATTCTTCTTCTTCTTCTTTCCTCTTTGTCTCTTTTTCGATATATCTAGAACTCGAATCTGTCAGAGATACACTGATCAGTGAGTAAATAATGTCTTTCATGACGTCCACCACGGCGGCAGGGCCGCCGTCCGACGAGAGATTCAACGCTTACGCTGCCGCTTGCGCCATCGTAGCTTCCATGATTTCCATCATCTTTGGATACGGCAAGTCAATCATCTCTCTGTTCCTAACTAATTAATTAGTTAATCATGTTTAATGCATAATCACTGTTTTGAATTTGAATTTAATTAATGATGGTTTGTTTAATTAATTATAATTTACAGATACGGGAGTGATGAGTGGAGCGATGATCTTCATAAAAGAAGACCTCCTAATCAACGACACACAGGTCCAGGTCCTCGCCGGGATCCTCAACATCTGCGCCCTCGTCGGCTCCCTGATGGCCGGCCGGATCTCCGACTTAATCGGCCGCCGCTACACCATCGTCCTCGCCTCCATCATCTTCCTCATCGGCTCCGTCCTCATGGGCTGGTCCCCTGGCTACGCCGTCCTCATCACCGGACGCTGCGTAGCCGGCATCGGCGTCGGTTTCGCCCTTCTGATCGCCCCAGTCTACTCCGCGGAGGTCTCCTCCGCGAAATCGCGAGGATTCCTCACCTCCTTACCCGAGTGGGGGATCGCGATCGGAATCCTCCTCGGATACATCTCCAACGTCGCCTGCGCCAAGCTCTCGCTCCGCCTCGGCTGGAGGCTGATGCTCGGGATCGCGGCGGTCCCTTCGCTCCTCCTCGCGATCGGGATCCTCAAGATGCCGGAATCCCCGCGGTGGCTGATCTCGCAGGGGAAATTGGGGAAAGCGAAGAGGATCCTGTTCAAAGTGTCGAATTCCCCTGAAGAAGCAGAGAAGCGGTTCCGAGACATCAAGATCGCGGCGGGGATCGACGAGGATTGCGATTCGGAGTTCGCGGAGGTGCCGAAGAAGGAATCGGGAGGGAAAGGGGTGTGGAAGGACCTTCTGCTGCGGCCCACGCCGGCCGTGAGGAGGATATTAGTCTGTGCTGTGGGGATACATTTCTTCGAACACGCGGTGGGCATCGAGGCGGTGGTGCTCTACAGCCCGAGGATTTTCAAATCGGCTGGCGTCACGGATAAGCACAAGCTTCTCCTCGCGACGGTCGGCGTCGGCCTCACGAAATTCACCTTCATTGTGCTCTCGACTTTCCTGATGGATCGGGTCGGGCGGCGGAGGCTGCTGCTGACCAGCTTCGCGGGGATAATCGGGGCGCTGAGTCTGCTGGGGACGTGTCTTACGATTGTGGAGAGGCATCACGGGGAGAAGATTTTGTGGGCCTTGGGCCTGAGCATTGCGTCGTGTTATACGTTTGTGGCCTTTTTCAATATTGGGGTGGCGCCCGTGACGTGGGTTTATAGCTCGGAGATTTTCCCGCTGCGGTTGAGGGCTCAGGGGTATAGTTTGGGAGTGGCGGTGAATAGGCTGATGAACGCGATGATCTCGATGACGTTTATATCGTTGTACAAGGCGATTACGATCGGCGGCGCGTTTTTTCTGTTTGCCGGGGTGTCGTTGGCGGGGTGGATTTTTGTGTACACTTTGTTTCCGGAGACGAAAGGGAGGTCGTTGGAGGAGATGGAGGAGCTGTTTGGCGGAGGGAATAGGAAGAGTGATGAGCTTGAAGGCCGGGTTTAGGAGAATTATACTTTACATACATTGTAGTTTCTGTTGTTTTGTTTTTTCTTCACTATCTCAAATCATTTTTAATGTAGTGATGCTATTGATATTGTTTGGTTTGATTCGGTTCAAAAGGAGGGATAGTTCATTTTCAACACATGCTAGGAATATAGATTTGTATTTGAATTGAAAAACAACCTAATTGTGATTTCTCTAAATGTTACGAACAATTATCTTTCGAAAAGGCAATACACATATGTAGATTTTTATGTTTACTTAATTTATCTATGGGTTTGACTGATTGAATCGAAGTAATTTCGATCGATTTAGATTTACATAGTTTGTACAAAATTTTCATTTCAAAGAAACTTATGAACGTATTCTTACACTTTGAGTCTTTTTTTTTTTTGGTGAGAAACGGAGTGTTAAGGGTGCTCCAACCTTTAATCAATGATCAAACGGGACACTTTGAGACTTTGCATATTGAGTTGTAATTGTCATTTAATCATTTTAGGTTTAAACGTTAGTGTTCTGTTATGGTTTGATCAAAACTCTTGTCAATCATTACGTGTACTCTAATGTGGCAACTTTTTAGGGGGAAAAACACACACAAAGTTGCAAATTAGGGGTGTTCAAATGGTTACCATGGTAATTACCAAACCAAATAAGATTAAATTTATTAGTCATGGAATACAATATCATAACCAAGTCGTCCAAACTAATACAACAATCAAATTAACCAAACTAAAATTTAATCGATTCGGTTAACCAGATTAACCAATATAACATCACATTATAATTAAGTGAGAAATTTTTTGGTTAAGACATTAATTCGCAATTTATATAATGAATAAAATATAACAATCAACACATAGTTATTATTAACATTTAACATTACATGCAACTAATACAATTATCTTACGCTCAATAGAAGTATTCACCTAACAAAAATATATGTCAATGGTATGAGGTTTATGAATTATTTTGTTTGTGTGAATTGACTTTGTCTCTTAACATTATCAGAGGCTGTAAAAGATCTTCTTTTCAAGTTTTCATCCAACATAATATATGAGTTTTGCCTAAAGTAGACGTTGATATGTTGTAGTCTACACTCTTCAAATACAAATATACATTATATGAACAATATTGAGCTTTATTTTTTTATGAGTATAAAAGGGAGGAAAGTTTGTCTCTTAAGTGGTTCTATAAAGTATTAAGTATATGTATAAAATATATATTAGATAACTGGTTAAATTGATTTCATTAGTTAGGAGTGTATGAAACCAAACAAAATCACATACTTGTGTAGAGATTCTTCCTAAAACTCCTAGTAAGATCAATTGTCTCTCAATAATCAATGGCTAAATTTTCAAGTGCAAAAACCTAAAACCACCACCTACACAAGCTATTCGAAACTCTCACGGCTCGAGAGAATATATAACAAAGGATTTTTGTACAAGTTATTTTATTTTACAATCAATATTTCAATAAGAGGCTTACATGCCTTAACATAAAGTTTTCACATTAAAGCAGAGGTATTTGTAAGTATCTACCCAGAAGTTTCCCCAATTTATATCTAGCACTATAGATATCTATCATTTTTTTTTTGTAGAAAGCAGACACATTTGTCCTATATCATTGCACTAATATCGCGACTCAAGGAAACACCCATATTGTCGTATTCTTTTTTTGGTATCTACCCAAAAGTGTCTACTCAAGTATCTACCCAGAAGTTTCGCTACAAGGGATTTTTTATATAGATATATATCATATTCTTTTTTTGTAGAAAGCAAACGCATTGCGTCCTATGTCATTGCATTAATATCGCGACTCAAGGAAACACCCATGTTGTCGTAGAGGAGCCAATTACAGAGGTTCGGATCTCTCATATTGAAGAGATGTGTGCCAAAAGCAGGGGAATGACCCTTAGAAGCCAGGAAATTGGCTACAAAATTACATTCACGAAAGACATGATTAATTTTAACAACACAATCCCTCAAAATAATGTTCTCAAAGAGCTCTGCAAGATGACGATGACAATGGTCACTCTGCCTTCTGTTGTTGATAATACTCAAGGCCATAGTTGAGTCGAGATTGAGCTCCACTCTTCTTTATCCAAACTGGCAGGCCATTTCCAGCCCTTCTGCAACTCCCTTTAGCTCAGCACGGGTGATGGCGCATATCTTAAAATTGCTAGCAAACGCTCCCAAGCATCATCTCAGATGATCTCGAATGAGTCCTCTAGCTGCAGCTTGTCCAGAGGGTTGGAGCACAGATCCATCTGTTTGAAGTTGAGCCCAACCTGCACTTGGAGGTTTCCAAGCAATCTCTAGTTTTTATCATTTGATCAGGTACCGGGCATTTCTGAGCATTGTGCATAGCTTGATTGTTGATATTGATCCAAGCAAGCACTCGTTGGATCAAACCAGCTTCTGAATACCTCTTCCTATCCATCACTTCCTCAATTTGTTGCTTCCACAAGTTCCAGCAGATTATGCCGAAGTCAACTCCATTCAAAGGATCCATCATATTCTTTATCAACCAAGATTGGAAATCAGCACTATTGTCGCCGACCTGCAGCTTGTTCCTGAAGCGCCTCCACAAACCTACTGTTTTTCCATAGTTTCTAAGAATATGCTCAGTCGTTTCTTCCTGTGTTTTGCAGTGATTGCACATTCCATCCTCAGAGAGTTTCCTTTTCTCTCTTTCTTTGTTCGTGAGAAGTCTGTTGTGATTTGTCAACCACAAGAAGTGCTTGATACGACTCGATCCCTTCCATTTCCACAGCTCCTTCCAGGAATCAATAGGACATTTATCCAGCTCGCCTGCAACCAGTGAGTAGGCTGACTTGAGCTTGAACCTTCCATCCTTCTCAACACCCCATATCGTCTTGTCCTCTCCAAGGTTAGGTTTAGGTGCATTTGTTCCTGCAATCAAAGCAATAATCTCATTAGGGAGGTAGCTTCTCATTCTTTCCCAATCTCACTCACCTGAACCATCGGTCCAACTAACCACAAAAGCTTGTTGCTCTTCCTCGGTGAGGTATTTTAAAGCAAAAGCCTCCAAGACTAAGCCATTTTCCACCCAAGGGTGAGTCCAGAATCCAATTGATTCCTCGTTCCTCAAGCTCCACTGGATAGCCTGCTTCATGAAGGGCATGACTTTGATGATACCCTTTCATAAGCTGGAGTGATTACTTTTCTTCATCTTTGTGATATTTTCATCCTTATGGTGGAAGTATTTTCCCTGCAACACTTTGACCCACAAATCTTGGTTATTGTTAAAAAATCTGCCAAGCGAGCTTGACCATATAGGCCAAGTTCAAACTCCTAGCAGATCTGAGGCCAAGGCCTCCCTGGTTCTTAGGCTTACACACAACATCCCAAGAGAGTAAATGCACTTTTTTCTTCCCTTCACACGATCCCCACACAAACCCTCTAATTTATTTGTCAATCAAGTCACAAATACAAAGAGGGAGCATGGAAGTTTGCATAGCATAAGAGGGAATAGCATTGAGAAATGAAATAGCTAATGTCACCCTTCCTGCAAGGGAGAGATTTCTCGCTTTCCGGGAGGAGAGTTTACTATCCAGCTTCTCAATGATATACCTATATGTGTTTTTGGATAATCTGCCATGAAGAACAGGCACACCAAGGTATTTACCAAGGTCAGGGGTGGACTGAATTCCCAAGGAACCACATATATTCTGCCTATCACTACATTTAACATTTTTTTAGATGAAAACCCTAGACTCTTCCTTCCTAATAAGTTCCCCTGACACAAGACATAAGGAATCAAGGTAACTCAGGACAATCTCAGCTTGAGAGCAAGAGGCCTCAACAAAGAACACTAAGTCATTAGCGAAAAGTAAGTGGGAAAGGATAGGGCCATTCGAAAACGGTTTCACAGGTTTCTAGTTTTTGTTATTCACTTCATGGAAAATGCAATGACTAAGTCTTTCTACACATAAGGTAAAAAGGTAGGGAGAAAGGGGACATCCCTGGCAAAGTCCTCAGGAAGGCTAGAAACTTTCAGTTTCCCCTCCATTCCATAAGACTTGCATTTCCGTGATTGTGACACACTCCATGATCATCCTAACAAAAGATTATGGAAGCCCTGCACTGAGGAGAGACTGCTCCAGGAAAATCCAATCAATCCTGTCATAAGCCTTTGCAAGATCAACCTTCAGCAACATCACTCATTTCTTTCCCGTTTTTCTTGCCATTGAATGAACAGTCTCCTGCAGAATCAGGATGTTATCAGTAATGTGTCTGTTTGGGACAAAGCTATACTGATTCTGGTGTACAAGGGAAGGCATCGGAATCTTAAGCTTGTTCTCTAGACACTTAGCAACAACTTTATATCCAACATTACAGAGACTAATGGGACGAAACGGGTTCATAGACATGGGATAATCAGTTTTAGGGATAAGTGCAAGCAAGGTCTGATTAACAAGTCTAATCTTAGAGTAATCAAAGAAACAAGTAGAGATGAAGTGGAAGAAATCTTCCCCAATTTTTCCCCAGCATTTCTGGAAAAAGATGGCCTGGTAGCCATCTTTGCCTAGCACCTTGAGGCTTCCCACCTCCATCACTATAGCTTTAACATCAGCCATACTTGGTGGAGTTCCAAGTCTTGATGTAGCACTTTCATCAATGTCAGTAAAGCTGGCAGGTAACACATGCTGATGAGTTTGTTCCTCCTTGCTGTACAGGTTCACAAAATTGTCTCTGACCAAAATTTCCAACGATTCTGGATCATTGATCCAGTTTCCTTCCTCATCTTTCAGACCAATAATTATATTTCTTCTTCTCCTGCTAAAGGTACTGCTGTGGAAGAACCTCCTATTTTGGTCTTCCTGAATGATCTAGTTGGCTCTAGACTTTTGGAGCCAAAGGACCTCTTCCTGCCAAAGAGTTTATTCCAATTCTTTGCGTGCTTGTCTCTCCTGCTTTCTGGATTGGACACTAGGTGACTTGTCATTTTTGGCTTCCAAGGCATGAAGTCTAGTCCATAGGCTCTTTTTGTTTTTAAAAATATTTTCAAACACTTCTCTATTCCACTTTTTGAGCTTGTCAGAAAGTTCTTGTAAGGCAAGAGGGAGGGCAGATGCATTACCAGGTTTCCAAACATTATCAAGAAAAGGGAAGAAATCTTCATGGGCAAGCCAAGGGGCAAGTAAATGGAATCTTCTCACCAGTTTGCTTTTGTCCACAGGGTCCTTGATGCTCATTAGGATCGGTCTGTGGTCCAATCTTAACTTAGGAAGATGGAGGTTGGACGACTCAGGAAAGCTTGAAGCCATTCAGTGTTGCAAATGCATCGATCCAAGCGTTCCTTGAGATGAGAGTTTCTTGTAAACCAAGTAAACTTTGGGCCAATGAACCCTAAGTCGATCAGACCATTGTCATCCATACATTTGTTGTAAGCTTTCACCTTTCCAAAGTTGAATGGGGCGCCACCCTGCTTTTCAGACGGTTTAGAGATGGAGTTAAAATCTCCTAACAACATCCAAGGGATCTTTGTTCCCCGTTTGATCCTGCTGATAGACTCCGAAAGTTCCCCCCTACTGTGCTCATTGGGGCAAGCATAGATTGTCGTCAGCTGACAAACCTCTTTATTCCAGTATTTGAGGTTGATAAACTGTTTGTGGCAATCTAGAAGTTCCAATGTCACCTGGTCATTATTCCATAACACCTAAATGCCACCACTGAAGTCAATGGCATCAGACACTTCCCAAGAATCAAATCCCAAGGACTTGATTACTTTGAGAGCATCTTCACCACTGATCCTAGGCTCCATAATGCAGATGATATTAAGCTCATACATTTTCTTGTAAAACTCCACAGTGGAGTGAATTTCGGGTGTTGGGCACCACGATAGTTCCAGGAAAGGATTCTAATCATGAAAAATGATAAGGAAAACTCCCCTTCCTCCGCCCAAGAGGCAGAGAAGATGATGTGGAGTCGACGACCATGGCCGTCTCTTCCCTTTCATTCTCCATGACTTCTGCATCCTTTGCAGATGAACTTACAATATCTGGTTTTGTCATAGCTCCCCCTTGGCTTGATTCAAAGTCAAGCTTTCTTGGTTGGCTAATCCCATTATCTGGTGACGAAGAGACCATCTTGGCAAGATCCTTTGTTTTTTGCAGTGATGGCTCTTTCATTATGGGTTGGTGACATGAGTTTGCAGCTGTTGTTCGATCCTTCTCTTTCCCCTGTTTCCTGTTCTCTAGTGTCTTCAGCTTTGGGATAGCAGAGACCTTGGGGCCTCCTTTTGACTTCTCTTCTTTGAAAATAACCTTACCTTTCCCTGCAGTTCCATAAATCAGCTTTGAACGCCCATTGCCCTGACTTTTTGTCACAATAATGGGCTTCATTCCTGACATAGAGGCCACATGTGAAGCTTTTTGATTCTCCTTCCTTGTTGTATCTTTTCCTAGTTGAGTCTTCTTTTGATTTTCTTTCTTTCCCTGACTTTCCCTTTCCTGTTTTTTCTCCTGTGTATGTTCTGTTTCCTGTTCTCTCCCTCTTGTCTCCCAACCTTTCAGTTGAATCCTTTTCTCATTCTACTTTTGATGCAGGCTCACACTCAACCACAACATTCTCAGTATTTTCTTTTTCTCTGACTTGTTCCTCTAGCACACTGAATCTTGATCCTTCTGGTTGTTTAGTTTTCTTCAGTTCCTTCCTTCCTGGCTTTTTCTTCTTAGTAGCAGCTAGGGGTGGTCACTGGGTTTACTAAAACCGTTCATGTTTGGTCACTGCAAATATTTAATTCCATTCATGGTCACTAAGATTAGTTCAATAGTTCAAGTTTGGTCACTCTCCGTTAGTCTCCGTTAGTTTTTGTTGATGTGGCAGTCAACTATTATAGTTGACCGTTAAATGAGTGACGTGGCCAATAAAAAAATAATAATAAATAAAATTTAAATATTTACAATTTCCACCTCATTTTACAACTATTAAAAAATAAAAATAAAACTTACCTCCTCCACCGAAAGCTCGCCGCCTGCTTCGAACTAGCGTTCTTACACACTAGCACCGCTCCCCTGCCGCTGAGCTTCGCCGCTCTCAACGCCCTGGCGAAGTCCTTCCGCCGCGAATCTACCACAAGGAAATCGATCCCCTCCAGCCCTTGCATAACCTCTTCCGCTTCCCCCACCACCACCTGATTGGCCGCCGGCAGAATATTAATCGAATTCCCACCGCCAGCCTGACGTAGTGCTTGCAAATACTCCGATCTGGAATTCTCGTCGGGGACCACGCACACGTGCCGCCCGCCGGAGTGACGGCTGGCGACGGCGAGGCCGATGCTGGTCGCCACCGGCCCACCGCGGGACCATGTCTCCACTATGAATTTGGCGTTCCAGCCGGCCGCCATAGCCGAAACCAGCTCTGCTACGCCGGATTCCTGGCTAATCCCACACTGTCGAAAATCCAGGAATCAAAAATCGCCATCCAAAAGAAGGAGAATTGAGAATTGAGGGAAAACCCCAAACATATATAATTCAATTCATACAGAAAGAAGTAATTTGGCTGGCTTACTGCTTTGACAGTATCGAGATAGGCTTTGGAAGACAATTCAGGGGACCATATAAGCTTCATTTCTTTCTCCTCCTTTCTTCTCAATCTTGTCCCTCTTGGTATTTTTCAGTTGCTCCCCTTGTTCTTCGTCTGGTTTATTGATGGAGGGTTTGCTGCGGATAAGGTCTGCGGCACGTGGGTTCCGGGCGACAAGCCAGAAGAACCAAGTGAGGGCTGTGGAAGTGGTGTCCTTCCCTGCGAGGACGAAACTGATGACTATGTCTCTGAGAAATTTGTGCCTCTGTTTTTCGCCTTCGAACTATCAACTGCCCTCGTGTCGCCGGAGCTCGGAAAGAGGACCAAATTCGGGTACGAAGAATTGAAGGGGCTAGATTACCTGCACGCGGCTCTATCGGAATCGATGCGACTGTTCCCTCCGGTGGCTCAAGTAGTAGGGTAAGCAGACAGCAGATGAGGGAGTAAGAGTGGGAGGGGCTGCCGGTGGCAGTTGGAAAGAGGAGCGATTACTGATTTTTTTTTTTTTTGGAGGAGGTAAGTTTTATTTTTATTTTTATTTTTTAATAGTTGTAAAATGAGGTGGAAATTGTAAATATTTAAATTTTTTATTTTTTTATTGGCCACGTCACTCATTTAACGGTCAACTATAATAGTTGACTGCCACATCAGCAAAAACTAACGGAGACTAACGGAGAGTGACCAAACTTGAACTATTGAACTAATCTTAGTGACCATGAATGGAATTAAATATTTGCAGTGACCAAACATGAACGATTTTAGTAAACCCAGTGACCATCCTTGCAATTAACCCCGAAATTATGTATACCGGGTCCCCGAATTCTATCAAACCTCAAACCTAATTCGAACCAAATTATAATTTGGTTCGTCCGGTTCAAACCGAATTATAATTCGGTTCGGTTCGGTTTTTCATACAGAACCGAAATAGTGAGGTGAGCTTGTATTTTCTCCTTTTTAAATTATTTTCACCACTAATGTAAACAATAAATATGCATCCTCAATGATAAAATCAAACATTTCAACACATAAGTCATAAAACACTAACATGATTCAAATATTTAAGTCTCGTAATAAGTAGAAACATAAAAATCCACCATTTAGAGCTTGCAATTATAATAATTCGGTTTTTCGATTCGGAATTCGGAAATTCGGTTCGGTCGAAAGGACCCTGGTTTCCGAAATATAACCTTTTCTCTTCCGAATACCGAACCGTATGCCCACCCCTAGTAGCAGCCCCTTTGGGGTTTTGTCTTCTTTTTGGTCTGGAAGCAATCATCCATGGGCCAAAATCTTCCAACACTTCAAGATGGATTTCATGATTCTTCCCTTGGGTAACCACTGGCTTCATGCTCTGACGAGGTACCCTTCTTCATATCAGATGATGGACATTTATCCTCCAGATGACCATAGCAACCACATTCGTAGCAAACCGTATCAAGACCCTCATACACCACTCTCCTGACTCTCCTCTTCAATCGATGCTTGGGCACAAGTCTCTTCCTAAGATCAATCTCCACACAAATTCGTGCATAATTCCCTCAGAAGCCATTCATCGTGTTATAACAATCTTCACAACCATGTCAATCTTACTCCCAATGATCTCCAGAATTTTTTCGTCGAAGTAAGCCATCAGGAGGCGTGGAAGGCGTACCATGACCATTGGTTTGTTGATGATATCATAATTCAGATCAAAATCAAATCTCCATGGTTCTGCTGCAATATACTGCTCATCAACCGTCCATGCCCCCCAAAACATAGCTCTATCTTAGTCGTTTTGCGAGCCAAAGATGGCTTGATAATACCCATTCCCAATATCTCCAATCCTAACCGCCCCTCTTCCTGCCCACATTTTATGGACTTTCGTATGAATAAAAGCAAAGGGAAGGCTACCTCCAAGAATCCGAAAGGTGGTTGCTCTACTCCACCTGTGGCGGACTCTGGTGTCAGTGTTTTTTTTATGCGTCAGCATCCTCCCATTCCGATTCGTCAGACATGAGATCGTCGCCCTCTGGAAATTCAATATGAGTCCCATTCCCCAGCATTGAGTCCTTGTAGTAGGCCCGAGGCTGCTGGGGAAGTGTCATCTTCTGTGAATTAAAGCTACCCTCAAATTGATTGAGATTGGGGGTCTCCATTTCAAAGTTATCATCATCAATCACGGCCGCAATCACCGCAAAGTCCATACTTCCTTCTCCTGAAGATCCTTCGCTAGTCGCCGCTTTCTCCTTCTTACTCAGCTGGATCGACGGCGGCGCCGAAGACCCATCCAGTGGTTTGGGATCTGGGATGGTCGCCTCCAGTGGAGGCTCCATCACTCGACGGGAACAAACAATCACAAACGAGGGAAAAGGAAAGAGAGTTCGGAGCAAAATCTCTCTCCTACTTTCCTTTCTCTCTCAATACTATCCCTGAAATCATGGGGGAAAGAAGATTTTCAGATGGTTTATCTATCATATTCTGATGCAACTTCATAAATAATCCATCATGGAAGATTTCACATTACTAGGATTGGAACCAAGATGGAAAAAACTTTTGAACTTGTTCGACAGTCGACACCCTTTGTAAGCACTAAATACCCAAGTTCCAAACCATCGGGAAAAAATCAACAAATCGTCCGAAAAACACATCTTATCACTCTTTTTTTCTCTTCTTATTTTTTAGGTTTTTTTGCAAGAATCACGGTAACACCCGATTATTTAACTTTTTGTACATTTCCTAAAATACCCTTCACTAATTAGAAATGGCCTAATTACTATATAATTAGGCTAAACCCAAACCCTAAGAGAACCCGACTACTAGCTAGCGGCGAAGGAGAAACCCCAAAATCCCACAAGTATCCTTATTCTTCTCGAATACCCGATGTCGCCGCCATAACAATCAGGAACAACTAGTGTGGGAGAGACTGAAATCGACGCATCCCTCAGAAGGAAAGAAATAGTCGATTAGACGGGGCGATGCCAACTGTTGGTATATAGCGGCTATGATGAATACGACAGGAGATCGTTCCATAATCGATGAAGGTAATCTGTCGTGACTGCGGGTCTAAAGGATGTGATGATTTGAGAAGCAGTTGCCGGCAACAGTGCCGGTTACAAAATCCTCTAGCCGGGGCTCGTAGCTGTACGATAAATGGTGTGGTCTCCGTAGCTTAGAGTCTGGTCGTGGCCTCTTCACCTCTTCGTACAGAAGGCTCGACTGTAATCGAGGGAATACATTAATATATAAAAGCCAAGGTTGTAGGTTATTATTCATTAGTGGCTCTCACACTCCACCAAGTGCAAATGGGTAAGTACCAAGTCCTTCTTTTACCCCACTCTCCATTCTACAACCTTTGTGTTTAGTTATTGTTCGCTAGGTTTTCGTCTATGTTTTTTTTTTTTTTTGCACAAATCATCGCCTTTGTGTTTTGTTATTGTTCGTTAGGTTTCGTCTTTGACTTTTTGCACAAATCATCGACTTTGTGTTTAGTTATTGTTCGCTAGGTTTTCGTCTATGGCTTTTTGCAATAATCATCGCCTTTGCCCACCAGTTTGCAGCGCATCTCAAAATACTATCGGCGGGATCCTAAGTTGTTCCCCAATATGGTTTCCCAAGGCCGCTACCACGAGTTTTGTATTGGGACCGTGTTGCATCCTCTTTAATGTTTTTTTCTTTCTTTTTTCCCTTTTTGTTGAGTAACCCAAACACATGAGTATCCTACCTTGAACACAAATCATCGTCTTGGCCCACCATTTTGCAGTCCATCTCGAAATACTGTCGGCAGAATCCTAAGTTGTTCCCCACCACCGTTTCCCAAGGTCACTACCACGAGTTTTGTATTTGGACCGAGTTTCATCCTCTTTAGTGTTTTTTTTTTCTTTCTTTTTTTTCTTTTTGTTGAGCATGATCACAATTGAACCCAAATACATGGGTATCCTAACTTGAACACAAATCATTGCATTTGCCCACCATTTTGCAGCCCATCTCGAAATATTGTCAGCGGAATCCTAAGTTGTTCCCCACCATCCTTTCCTAAGGCTGCCACCACGAGTTTTATATAGGGACTGAGTTTCATCCTCTTTAGTATTATTTTTTTTTTCTTTCTCTTTTTCATTTTTGTTGAGCATGATCACAATTGAACCCAATGCCGCTACCGAGAATCCATACCATATCTACTCAATGTTGGCGAGTTTTGTATCGAAATCGAGTTCCGCTCGCTTTAGTATTTTTTTCTTTCACTTTTTCCTTTTTGTTGAGCATGATCACAATTGAACCCAAATCCATGGGTATCCAACCTAATTCGATCCAGTCAAAGCGACTTGAAACAAATTATAGCCTTTATAAATTTCTCTTTTTTTCTTCTTTTGGTTGGGATTACAATTTAACCCAAATCTAAGGTTTTGACGAGTGTTGTATTGTGACCGAGTTTTATCCGCTTTTGTAGTTGGCAGGTTGGACCAAGTGTAAATTTATTAAAAAATTGTTCAAGGCGAGTTAAACACATTGTTGGCCTTTTTTAGATTAAAATCATATTTTGTACGCTTTAATTTTTTTATTTCTCATTTTCCTTTTCGTTGAGAATGACAATTGAGCTCTGGCCCATTGTTGATGCGTTTCGTATCGAGAGCGAGTTTCTCTTTTTGTAATTGATAGGTTGGGTAAATTGTAAATTTGTTAAAACTGGATCGACCCGGTCAAAGCGAGTTGAATGCAGTGTTGAAAGTTTGGGGTCATGAGCGAATTTTATCCTCTTTAGTATTTTTTTATCTTTTTCCTTTTGGTTGAGAATGACAATTGCGTTCAAACGCATGGGTATACAACCTAATTCGACCCGACCAAAGCGACTTGAACCCGATTTTACAGGTTTTCGGTGGGAGCAAGTTTTATATATTTTTGTAATTGGCGTATTGTGTCGGGTGTGATTTTTTCCAAAACTCGGTCCAATCAGGTCAAAGTGAGTTGCACTTGGTGATGACGAGTTTTGAGTCGGTAGCGAGTTTTAGCTTTAGTGTTTTTCATTTTGCTTTTTCTTTTTGTTTGAGAAAGACAATTGAACCCAAATCCAT